ATCAACTGTATCAAATGCAGCACTGAGATCCAACAGGACGAGCACAGATACTGATTTAATGATTTCTATCATTAAACCTACTTTTATTTGGCCCTATTTGGATTTCTCTTTTGGCAAATTTATTGTTTCTCGTTTACTTCATTTCTCACAATCGAAGAAAAAAATTATTTATGGCTGTATTTTAACTAAATCATTATTGTTTACTCATTAAAACTTGACATCTAGTTCACCAGATTGTGCTGGTGAATTTACAATATATTCACTGAGTTTTGTTCTCCCACATCTGTGGAAATGAAATACGATGAATTGATTTCATCTATACTCTATACCTGTGGTTTTATTTTTAAATGAAAAGCAGAACGGGAATTTATTATCCACCTTTTTGTTGACCATTGATTCTGTTTGTTTGCATCTTTGCGCTTTAATAAATGTAGGAACAAAGATGCTTTATAGCCCCTTTGTTCAGCACTTAGACCCCCTTTATGATCTACTGGATGGAAACACGATTCAGGAAAAGCAAACATGTTTTGTTCCCTCTAAGATAAAAATACGTTTTTGCTGTGATTGAGAGAAATAGTTGAATTGTCACCTTAACGCTCTGAGTCACTGAGATGCTGCTGAAGGGTGACGAACCAAAGGTGACAAATCAGCCATTTTTTGGCTTCTTCGGTTCCGTCTGTGGATGATGGGCACACGGCCCACTCACAGCTGAGCTGCTGGAGGAAAATATGGTTCTAACTGATTTTCCTGTGAGCAGCGATAGCCAGAATTTCAAAGAGGTGAGGAAATGCCGCGACAGTCATTTGCACTCAGATGCTACTGATATGTGGCTGACAATGCTGCTGTCTTGCCATAGGTTCAGGGTCCTGTTGAGTCGGGACGCCCTGCGTGGGAGCGTTCTGAATGAAGTGATCGCAACATGGACAACATTGGTTGGGATTCCCCAAAGGTTGGAAATGACCCTCCCTGTTGTATTAAAAGCAGCCAGGCCGCCACCAATCCAGGACAAGGCAGCAGGAGAACCTTCAAACAACAAGTCTGAGTCTTTCTGTAGCTGCATCTCTATACCGGCCCAATCCAAGCCTAGAACAGAGACACTGACGGCTGTAGCTCAGTTCACACCTTCATTGACTTTATCTTCTGGAAGTGCAAACCATGGCTGGATCCTCTATCTTTGCATGGATGCTGCTGCTGCTGCCTCTATTCGTCTCCTTTGATCAGATATCTGCTGCTCCTGCTCATCCTCTATGCAAAGATACGTTTTGGGTCGTAGCGATTCAGAAAGACATTAAGGCCCTGGGAGAGGTGGTTAAGGTAAGGACACATTCACTTTCAGAAGTCTTCATTGTGAATCATGCAGGGCAGCGGCCCCTGGAGATGAGGGACTGTTTTAAGCTGAAGAACTGTGACTAACTCTGAGATGCAGCGTGTTGCCGTCATGTCAGCCACAGAGAAGCTGCTGACTGTGTGGGTTCAGTGATGTGTAGATAGCTGAGCAGGCTGTCAGTTGACAGCGGCTGCCTCGTTCTTCTGATGTTCTCTGGTCTAATGTGTCCACCTCTGTTTTCCTTTGTGCTGACAGAAATGTGGGAACCTCAGCTTGGAAGTCAGCTCTGTGAGTATAACCGATGCCTTTCTAACCTGGAGCCTCTGTTGGGCTAAAATCTTTACTTTAAAATCAAACTTCCTCTCTTTTCTGTCAAATATCCTACTTTCTGCACTGTCTGCATCAATCAGGCTAAAAATTAGGACACTTTATAATAAGGGAAACTAACAGAGTGAAGAAAATACAACCTTTCAATGGAAGAAACCCTAAATATTAGAAATAAGACTTTTTTCTTTCATATTTCCTGCTCTGACTGATGAATTAGAGAACATAGGAGTGTGTCTGGCAGAGAGCATTGTGAGAAGTGTTGCTGTTAAGAAAAGCTAGCTCCATAGGTTTATTTGTCGCAGTATCTCTGAGGACTTGCGCTCTGCATCGTGCAGCTGAGGCTGATGTGCAACAGGCAGCGAGCAGACTCAGCATCACCAGGCCTTCACCACTTCCTCTTTCCTTCGCTGTTATCGCATATGAAACAGCTGCAGCACTTAGAGCCTGAACTGCATTACTGTTTCACTTCTCTCCTATTCTTGCCTGCTTGGAACCATCGGCTGGTTTAATATTCTCATTTGATCTAAATCATCCTTTTTTCATTTTCTTTCAGAATGTACCAAACAACCAAACTACAGCTGGAAAGGTAAAGGTTCAACTTTATTATAACTCAGATAAAAGCATTTATTTCCTGCTGCAGCTAATCTGAGGGGTTTGTTTGAGTGCTGAAATGATCTGAAGATGTCTTTATTAAAAATATCCAAAGCAGTTCAGGCATCAGAATTTCATCATTTACAGCAGGCAGCACCTTTCCTGTCGGCCTGCAGGCTTATAGAGCGGTCCAAGTCATGCTGCATGCCGGCTGCTGCTGTACACAAACCTCAGTGACTGTTAGACGAGCTGATTAGAAAGTGTTTACTCTGACATCATAGATGCACAATCAGAAAAGTTTCATCTCCTTAGAACGGCTAATATATCAGTGACATCATGATCTCATAGCGTGCTGTGCAGGTTTACCTGAAATGAACTGGGATTGATGGCTGTGTTTTCTGCTCTGCAGCCGTGTGCCTTACCTGCTAACTTCATCCACGGACTCAAACTTCAGCCATGCTACACTGAGTCCAAAATCGATCAAATCCAGACACACATGGATCATTTGGAAAATAGAATGGAAGTAGCTGGAAAGTGTTCGGAGCTGGTAAGTCAATCTGACCAAAGACATGTTCCTGTGATGTTTCATCCAACAGGCGGACGGTAAACACTGACTGCTTCTCTCCCTCAGATGGAAATCTATTGCTCAAAGAGCGCAAACTCTGGTCCCATCGCTTCCCTGGATGTCTTCCAAGCCAAGATGAAAGTCGTGCTGGAGCAGTACATGGCTAGGTTATTAAGCTAAGGAACCGGACCAGTCTGGACCCGTAATCCAGAGAGGAAGCACACCTGGAGCTTCTCCATCCTGCTAATCTTTAAAAATGTGGACGCTTGCTGCAGGGCCTCTATATGTTTTATTATATCAGTGAAAGACACTTAAGAAGGTTTTCTTTTGATTTTTTTTTCCTCCTGGACACTTTTAAAATGATCTTTCAGACTAACAGTTAAAATCCTTTTTCTATCTGGTTCTAACCATCAGTCCAGTTTCCCCATTATTCATTCAGTCAGAACCAATTTGGACGGAAAGGTTCTGATCCAACAACTAATCTCAGAATCGGTCTAAAATTGATCAGTGCTCTATTCTACTAAACCAGGATTGTGTTGCTTCAAAAAGCTAAAGTTTGTCAAACACTATGTGTCTATAAAACAGTACAAATGTAACATGGAATTAATGAAGTTGATTATGATTTATTTTATGATTTAATTTTACTTATTATTTATATTATTTATGATTAATTTATCAGCTCAGTGTAGAATCATATTGACTTGTTTACCTTTGTTTGGTTTTGTTTATTTATATTTGTTAAACATGTATGATTTAATCATGTGTCTGAATGTCAACATCATACTGATGTTTTGAGACAAAGATCCCATTCTATGTCAGATTTAACAGTAAGGACTATTTAATCCTAATTCTCTTTAAATATCTTTTTTATTGTCTTGTTTTTGAAAAGTGCTTGTTTTTTTAAGATGAATAAATAAAGTGATCTTTTTATCAACATATCCTGTTTTGTTGGTTTATTTCTGCTTGAATCCATATAGCTGGCAGTAAGTTTAAACTATAATGAAAATGAACCTTATTTAACACAATTCTAACAGTTCGAAAGTTTTGAGATTTTTCAATTTATTGTAATCATATATCTACATTTTTACTGATTTACATGTCTAGCTGCATGTCGTCATTCAACCGCTGGTTGTCTAGGTGGTGTCCTGAAAACAACGTGGGCTACATTAATAATTGGCAATCCTTTTGGGAAAAGCCTGGTCTGATTCGGAGAGACGGCATCCATCCCACTTTGGATGGTGCAGCTCTTCTTTCTAGGAATCTGGCCACATTTATTAGTCCTCCAAAACCCTGACCACCCAGGGTGCAGACCAGGAAGCAGAGTCGTAGTTTAACACACATCTCTGCAGCTTCTCTACTGTTACCCACTCTTTTCCCCATCCAGACAGTGTCTTTCCAACATCCAAAATCTGATAAATTAGCAAATATTACCAAAGGAGTAAATCCTGATAATCCAATTAAAATAATTCCAATAGGGGAAAAAGTTAGAACGATTAAATGTGGTCTGTTTAACA